AACGTAGTACCGAAATACGCTCCATCAACCGTCTGAAATCGGGAGTTTGGCGGAACGTAGATATCGCAGCACGATGGACAGAAAAGCTTAACTGTCTCTACACCAGGAGTGTCCGAATATCCACAGGGAAGGACTCGGGCCTGGGTGCAGTACACTCGCGGACAGAAGCCAAAGTGATTCGCCAAATATTTGTCGTACATCATCTGAATCCCTTGACGGGATGTAATGAATCGCTGATGAATGAGGCCATAAAGTATTTCGGCGGATGACTCAATGACAGATAAATCAGAGGCTACCCGCATATGAGCTGAGCGACGACGGTAGGCACCCCCTTGAGCACCGGCTTGCTCGGACAATGATTCGGATACGGACCCCTGGCTATCGGAGTCATCTTCAGGCTCCACATCGAGTATCATTTCCAAAGCTTCTTTGTACCTTAATTAAAAACAAAACAATTAGACCGTTATTCCAAAGCAGTGAAAACACAAACAATCAAAAAAAGGATGGAGAAATGTCATGCCCCGTTCAAAAGCAGCCACAATAACGGAATGGGAAAGGGGCACATCTTTCCATAACAGATAAAAAAAAGCCCCGAATAAACAAATCAAGGCCACTTACATAGGAACCATCTGGCCTAGACCCGTTAAATTGAAATCGTCTTCGATGAAATCTTCTATGACTTCAGCAAAGTATTCATGTCCTACCATGGAGCAAAAGTTGCCGATCCAGGACTCTTCCTCCTCCATATCGTCTTCCTCGTCCTCTTCCTCTTCCTCTACTTCCGAATTTTCTTCCTCTTCAGACACAGATTGGTCCGACGAGTGCGAATGAACTGGAGAAGTTTGAAGGGTGGTAGAGGTAGGGTGTTGGGGAGGGGAACGTGTTTGGGCTAGGTTCACCGATAAATATGCACACACGTGCGGAGGTGCATGTCAGCCTGGCTGGAAGATAGAAATAAAATAAACGAAATAAAATAAAAAAGAACACACTCGAGGGTGGAGGGAATCCTAGCAAACACAAGCTAGGAGGGAAAGGAGAGAGGGGGCGGGGGGCGGATGGATGGATGGATGGGCGGAGGGGTAGGCAGCAAGCAGTCATAGAAACACAGCAAAAGCATGACCAAA